GGTCACTCAGCGGTCACTCACTGCCGGACAGCAGGAAGGCGCCGCTGGGGTCCAGGGCCAGGCAGGTGACGGCGTCCAGGTGTGCGACCATCGAGTGCACAACCTTACCTGGGGACAAAAGGGGCGGGGTCAGGAAAGGGGGCGGGGTCAGGAAAGGGGGCGTGGTCTCCGAAGGGGCGTGGCCCAAATGGGAGTGGCCACTGAATGGGCGTGGCCTAAAGGGGCGTGGTCGTTCTGGGGGAGGGGCCTCGTGATTGTGTGGGCAGCAAAAGGGGCGTGGTCAATGATGGGTTGTCACCTCGTTACCCCCAATTAAGCTAATTAACCCCTAATCACCCCCTAATTACCCCCAATAAAGATGATTAACCCCTAATTATCCCCAGTGAAGCTGACTAACCCCTGATTACCCCAATGAAGCAGATAAACCCCTAATTACGGCCTAATTACCACTAATTAATTACCCCAATAAAACTAATAAGCTCTTAATTAGCACCTAATCCCCCCAATTAAGCTAATTAACCCCTAATAACCCCTTAATTACCCCCGATAAAGCCACCAAGCCCCGACTTCTGCCCCAATTAAGCTAATTAACCCCTAATAACCCTCAATAAAGCCATCAAACCGCCGACTTCTGCCCCAATTAAGCTAATTAACCCCTAATTACTGCTTAATTACCCCTGATAAAATCACCAAAATGCCGATTTCTGCCCCAATTAAGCTAATTAACCCCTAATGACCCCTTAATTACCCCCGATAAAGCCACCAAACCCTGATTTCCGCCCCAATTAAGCTAATTAGCCGCTAATTAAGGACCCACCGGTGCGGTTGTCCAGGTAACGGATGGCGCGGTCATCGCTGGCCGTGATGGTCAGCGGCTGCCAGGGGTGGGCGACCACCTGGTTCACCTGGCCACTGCCACCTGTGGGGACAGCAGGGGACAGCTGGGGACACTTGGGGACGTTTTGTAGGGGGCTTCAGGTGTCCCCAGGTGTCCCCAGGTGACCCCAGGTGACCCTTGGGGACATTGGGGGGCGTTTCAGATGTCCCCAGGTGTCCCCAGGTGACATTGAGGTGTTCCCAGGTGACCCCAGGTGACACTGAGGGAAGGTTCAGGTGACCCCAGGGGGGTTCAGGTGTCCCCAGGTGTCCCCAGGTGACACTGGGGGAAGGTTCAGGTGACCCCAGGAGGGTTCAGGTGTCCCCAGGTGACTCCAGGGGGGTTCAGGTGACCCCAGGTGACACTGAGGGAAGATTCAGGTGACCCCAGGTGTCCCCAGGTGACATTGTGGGAAGGTTCAGGTGACCCCAAGGGGGTTCAGGTGACCCCAGGTGACCCCAGGGGGGGTTCAGGTGACCCCAGGTGACCCCAGGTGACCCCAGGTGACACTGAGGGAAGGTTCAGGTGACCCCAGGGGGGGTTCAGGTGACCCCAGGTGACCCCAGGTGACACTGAGGGAAGGTTCAGGTGACCCCAGGTGACACTGGGGACAGCAAGGGGGGGTCACTCACCGCCGTTTGGGGACACCAGGGTGGCCTTGGTGGCCTCGAGGTCGTAGAGGACGGTGGCACCTGAGCGGAACCCGGCCACCAGGTGGGCCGGCTGGGTGGCCACGAACGCCACCGAGGTGGGGACACCGTGATCTGAGGGGACAACAGGTGAGGGGACAGGTGTGTCACCCAACAGGACAGGTGTGTGCCCAGGTGTGTCCCCAGGTGTCCCCGATGTGTCCAGGTGTGTCCCAGGTGTCCCCCCAGAGTGTACAGGTGTCCCTCAGGTATCCCCAGGTGTGTCCCACGTGTCCCCAGGTGTGTCCAGGTGTCCCTAGGTGTGTCCCAGGTGTCCCCAGGTGTGTCCAGGTGTCCCCTGGTGTGTCCAGGTGTCCCCTGGTGTGTCCCAGGTGTGTCCCCAATGTGTCCAGGTATCCCCAGGTGTCCCCAGGTATCCCCAGGTGTGTACAGGTGTCCCCAATGTGTCCAGGTGTACCCAGGTGTGTCCCAGGTGTCCCCCACAGTGTGTCCAGGTGTCCCCAGGTGTGTCCCCAGGTGTGTCCCCAGGTGTGTCCCCAGGTATCCCCAGCTGTCCCCAGGTGTGTCCCCAGGTATCCCCAGGTGTCCCCAGCTGTCCCCAGGTGTGTCCTCCGGCGTGTCCAGGTGTCCCCAGGTGTCCCCAATGTGTCCAGGTGTGTCCCAGCTGTCCCCAGGTGTCCCCAATGTGCCCAGGTGCCCCCAGGTGTGTCCCCAGGTGTCCCCTCTCACCTTTGTGCCCGTCCAGGACGCTCAGGCAGGTGCCACCACCGCTGCCGTCCCCTCGGGGGTCCCAGAGGCGCACGGTGCCATCGGCCGAGCACGAGGCCAGGTGACGCCCGGTGACATCGAAGGCCAGGCCCCACACGGCGTCCTCGTGACCCTCCAGGACCCCCCGCAGCACCCCCGGGTCTGGGGACACGGGGACATCCTGGGGACATCTTGGGGACACCGGCGGTGGCCTCGGCCCCGCGGCCACCGGTGCCACCCCCCCGTGTGGCTCTGGTGGCCTCCGGTCCCAGCCCAGTAGCCCCAGTGCCACCAGGGCCCCAAGTGCCACCAAACCCCCGCTGTCCCCAAGTGCCACCGTGGCCCCAGGTGTCCCGATGGCCCCAGGAGACACCTGTCCCCTGGTGCCACCATGTCCCCAATGTCCCCCATGTCCCCCATGTCCCCAAGTGCCACCTGTCCCCCATGTCCCTGATGTCCCCACATCCCTGATGTCCTCAATGTCTCCAGGTGTCCCCAATGTCCCCAGGTGTCCCCGATGTCCCCAAGCACCCTGATGTCCCCATGTCCTTGATGTCCCCAGGTGTCCCCAAGTGTCCCCACGTCCCTAGGTGCCACCACACCCTCATGTCCCCATGCCCCCAATGTCCCCGATGTCCCAAATCCCCCCCATGTCCCCAATGTCCCCAAGTCCCACCACACCCAGATGTCTCCAATGTCCCCCCAATGTCCCCAATGTCCCCATTGCCATGATGTCCCCAATGTCCCCAAGTGCCCCAGCTGTCCTCAAT